TGTGCCATGTTCAGTGTATCATGTAGCATGTCCTGATTTCCACTCGCAGCAAAACCTTCCTATGCTTTAAGGAAGCCTGCAGCTATTATCCTTGCTCTTGCTTGGCTGAAGCCAGTGAGGTTTGCTCCTGTCTTTGACAGGACAAGAAGCAGACCCTTTAGTATAACAGGAATTTCCCTCAGATCCACATGATGAATACTTTGCTCTGAGCAAGACCAACCTGTAGTATACTGAAGCCAAATGACCTTTTCAGATATTTTGTGTGTTCCTTGTAATGTCTTAGGTGCTCAATTTTTAACCTACCCGTAACAGCCCCAAATGTCCGGAGGAGCTGATTGCCTTAGTTGCATACGTTTACTGTTGCTGAAATTTTGGGGCTCCACTGCTATTCATTTGAGGATTTCTAGAGTTTACTGCGTGTTCTATCATCCTGGGTATACTGTACAAGTTAGAGTAGGTTTGGGGTCCCTCCCTCTGGTAACCAACTAAGAATCCTCTGTCCCTTCTTTTCCCCATGGAAATATCAAGGATAATCTGCCTTCTGGTAGCTTGTTTACTTGATGGGGTCTCAGATTTTGGGTGTGAGTTTCATATGCCTTCTGCCTGTTTAGTTAGCTGAAAGAAAAAGGCAACCAAAACTAAGGCAAACATATCCTCGATTTCTTACCTAAAATGTCTCTCTTCTGTCCTTTCTGACCCTTTCCACTGCCTCCCATAGTCCAGGATAAAATCCAGTCTTCAAAATGCCTTTGTTTTGTAAACATCACGGTATAGCTGAGAATAGCTCCAGGGTTTGTACAGTTCTCCCATATTACTACAGCGCTCCTCCAAACTCAACTCCAGTGTGACTCACAGGCTGGCCTGAGTTTTGCTTAGGAACTAAATCCCTTTAGCTTCCTTGAATGCTTCTGGGAGAAGATGTGACAGTGATGCTGCCTGGTAGGACAGGATTTGAGAAGGTAGCACCAAAAAATGCATGGTATTAGGTAGGAGCAAAAAGATCCATGACTGTGGATTCAATGGCTAAAGTGCCTGTTAAAGAGACCCTGGGTGACTTTGCCCTTTCTTCCATCTCTTTGTGTTCTTATAGGTTATGTGTTTGAGCAAAGCATTCAGCTTTTCATGTACTTTTCCAGGGCTGTTACTCTACTTATCTGGACTGTGTCCTCATCTTAATTTGTCCCTTGATGTACAGTTGAATTAACACAGCTCAACACTGAGTAGTCACTCTAGTCATAACTTTGAAGTGGATTCACTGAGGTAGTATACATTATATGGAAAAGTCTAATCAAAAAAAGGAAGGAACAGGCTAGGTTCCTGGAAATTAAGCTTTCAATATAATTGTTATTCTGTATCATACCTATGAGGTGAACGATGGCTGCCAATGTTTTATGCTTATACACAGTGGCTTGCTCGTGCTGTCTTGAAGAAGACAGTAATGTAAACATACATACATATGTGTTTCCTTGTGCCTGTGTTTTACTCCTGAGCTGTGTGCTGTGATCATCTAGTTCAGATAAGTCTTTAGAGTGTATTTTGAGGCTGGCAGGCACTGTGGCTAACTGGGTAAGTTATGGCCATCCTGAGGTCTGTATGTTATCAGTGGGTAGGCAGAAGCGGACAGGTTACTTCCCTTCCTGTCCCCCTGCCAAAACACAAGCTGAGACAGATTGCCTTCCCCTTGGGTCTGAGGGCTGGAGGGTGAGATCAGGCTGCCAGATTTCTTTCTGTTGAAAGGTGAAAGTGTATTGGTTAGATCCCTTCCTGCTGCTGGAAGGAGAGCTTGACCTGGAACACCAGCACCGTGAACCTGCTGGGTAAGTTTGCAGCCAGCCAGGAGGCAGACAGGCAGTGGACAATGTGATGGTTTACAAGCCAGGCCACAAGCAGTGTAATACAAAAGGCCCCAGATACAGTATTTTCACACTGGTGATTGTTTGTTTAGGGATTTATTTTTTTTATATAAATAAAACACAGCGTAATTAAAACCAAAATAAAGCAAACCAAATCAGTTCTATAACAGAGCCCATGGGCTCTGTAGTTAATGCCCTTAGAGTAACCCAGTAATAAATGAAAAAGTCACTTACTGCCCAAAGACAACCAGTTAACTTCCTTTTATGAAACTATAGGTCTTTTTACTAGGCTACAAAACTGTTTCAAACAAATGGAAACCAAATGTGTAAAAAATGTGTTTTTCTTTAAACCAAACCAGCGTAAGCCACAGGGCTCTTCACGTGAAGCTCTGCCTCAGTCTCTTCTACAGGCTTGTGCTTTTGAGAGTGAATACAGGGCTCATCTATTGAGCAGAGCTCTGCAGCTGCTGCTAGATAGAGGATCTATACAGTAACTGTAACAGAGATATTAAGCAGCCATTCAGGATGGAACTATTCAGAGTAGCGAACCCCGAGACATGCAAAGCATTATGCAATCGTATTGGCACATTTTGTGTTCTCCAGCCCAAAAGAGTTGCTATTGTGGAGACAGGCTATTTTAATCTTCACATGCAAAAGCTTTTGACGTGTGCTGCACCTATGCCCTGCCTTGTAATACTGTTCATTCTAGTGCTAAACAGATGTGATGCCAAACCAGCCCCGCTATAAATCAGTGCATCTCCTATTGAGATCAATAAGAATTGCACTTGCTTACACCAGGGCTGAATTTTTGCCTGTAAATTACAAACAGTTCCGCTGTGGATGGAAAATATATTAACCTTCTGTGAACATAAAATTCAGTGTGTCATCTGTAGGGGTCTGCTTTTCAGTGATTACTTCCTAACTGGAGAACAACTGCATTTTGAGTGGGAAATGTTTTAGCAACAGATCTTTGTGTACTGCCTGAACATGCTCATATCTTGGCCTTGGTGAAAACAATTCATGTGTAATGATCACGGTCTGGGCACTTGGGTCCTGAATTCTGATAAACTCCTTGTAAAGTCTAAAGGCCAGGCTGTTTTGGTCAAGAGAGCAGTAAATGAGAATGCCGTAAGACATGTTATTACATAGAGCAAACCTTAATAAGCAAAAAAGTAAGTGGGGCTCTGGGGCCCACAACACAAGAGGGACGTGGTGCTATTGGAGTGAGTCCAGAGGAGGCCACAGTGATGCTGCTAGGGCTGGAGCAGTTCTGCTCTGGAGACAGGCTGAGAGAACTGGTCTGGTTCAGTCTGGAGAAGAGAAGGCTCCGAGGAGAACTTACAACAGTCTTCCAATACCCAAAGGGGCCAACAAAAAATCTGGAGTGGGACTTTTTACAAGGGCCTGTAGGGACAGGCCAAGGGGAATGGCTTTAACCTGACTGAGGAGAGATTGAGATGAGCTCTTAGGCAGAAGTTCTTCCCTGTGAGGGTGCTGAGATGCTGGCACAGGGTGCCCAGAGAAGCTGTGGCTGCCCTATCACTGGCAGTGTTCAAGGCCAGGCTGGATGGGGCTTGGAGCAGCCTGCTTTAGTGGAAGGTGTCCCTGCCTGTGGCGAGGACTGGAACTGGATGAGCTTTAAGGTCCCTTCCAACCCAAACCATTCTGTGGTTTTATGAAAATACATGGCTTGTTTTATTTAGTGTATTGGTGAGTCTTGACTGGTGAGTGACAGAGTCTTCCCATTAAGTACTACCTCAACTGATTCGTATTTCAGCCAAACGTTAAATCCCTACCCTTGTATTTGCCTTACCATCAGATAATACCTGATGTCATGACCCACTAAGACCCATAGGTTGTTGTATGCCCCTGTGAAATGAAAGAGAATCGGGCTCCTAAATGTTCTTGATGCCTTTGTGCTGCACTGGATTTAGGAACTGGCATGTGTTAAGTTACCAGCTTTTACATTTCTATCTATGCCACTGCTGCCTGTGAAATTTTTACTCCCTCTGGGCTCCACAGGGAGAGGCACTTGGAGAGTGAATAGCCAAATGGGTCTAGGACATGGCAATTCCAGAGGAAAACATCTCATTCATTACAGATGTTGGATAAGAGTCACACAGCATGTGAAAAGTCCACAGAAACTTTTGGGGGTCTTTTTAGTCCCCTTATCCTATACTTACCTTATATGTATGTGTAAATAAGCTTTATGGAGTCCATGGCAAAAGTAAGTTAACAAACAGAAGATAATGTACTCTGTCTTAAAAATGAAAGGAATTAGAGAACATGATACTGCAAAACACCCTGTGATCTTGCAGTTAAATTGTGTAGAACAACAAATGTCTGTCAGAGGTTGCACACAGATCCTTTATTTGAAATGTTTTCTGAATGGTAAGTGTTTAATTGCGGACTCTCTCAAGGCAGTTGCTTCTTAAAGGAGTAGAGATTATATATTCCCCCTAGTTTTCTATGGAATGATATATGACATTTGGTCAAATGCATTGTGCTCTCAGGATAAATTATAAAGCACTTAAATGTATTTCATCCCACATTATACTTCATCTTCAGGCAAAAATGTGTTTTGTCAAAATATTGATTTGTATTATCAGGGCACGTTGTATAAAATCCGAGAGCAAATTTCATTTTAGGGAACTGTGCAATTTGTCTAACCATTCCAAGGAAAAGGACATCAAATACATATGAGCAATTGTGTTGGTGAAATGAATTTTAATCATGTTTATCATCCTTCCAGATACACTGTACAATGGCATTTGATAAATTTCACTCCCTAGACCCTAGTCTGATGGCTGATGAGATAGGAATGTTACAATGTCCCAGTGGCATCGAGCTGGATTCCTGCTCTTAATAGGGTGCTGATAATATAGACACTGGTAATTTATCTGTTACTTAAGAAAAAATTAAATCTGATTCCATGAAAGGAGGAAAACCAAATAAATGAATATAGGTGAGAATTAATGTTGACATAGCCTGCACTATGTAATTGGTGTCTAGAGGTTTTAAGGACTAAATGGAAATACTTGAGGGATTGTCTTTTTCTCTCAATCTTGTGGTTAAAACTTGAGAGTCATGAAACATAGAGTCTCTGTTTTGGTTTTTTTTTTTCCTTTTTATTTAACTTGCCTACAGATGTTCTACATGACCTTGAGAGAGCTGGATGGGGCTGATTCTGCACTGGAAGTCAATGGACTGTATTCAACAAAGACATGAGGACTGAAACTGCATCTTTCCCGTGCCTCCTGTCTCTTCACTTGTAACAAGAGGCTAACAGTGTGCTCCTTCCTCCTTGGGGTGCAGCAAAGATAAATCACATGGTATTTGCAATGATTCTGCTATCAGGAAGTGTGGGCTGCTTCTGCTTGAATCTGTGGAGACTCCTAAGAGCGAAGTCTTTGCTCTGCTTGTGGATTAGCCAGCAGAGGGCAACATCACTCTCGCGCATGAAAACTGCATCCCCTGCTTGAGCCAAAACCTGCCAGACACAAGAGGAATCTTTTCCTTAGCCTTTATAGCTCTTTATAAATGCAGATTTTTACTGTTTTTCAATATTAGCCTTGCAATGAAACGGCAGTGTGTGAGCACTCCCATGGCACTGTTAGCAGCTAGCCTTAGAAAAAAAGCTTCAAAACCTTCCAGTGCTGGGCAGAAACACAACAGTCATTTTTATTTTGTTAGTGGTTGATACAGTGCTAATATCCATAACAGCAGTGACTGTGTGGTGCTTTGAATGCTGTATGGCTTTGGTTAACTTTTATCATTCTTATCTATTTATTTCATAGTTGACCTAAGGGTGTTTGAGGTGCATGTCCCAGGACCTGGAAAAGAAAGAGATCAGGTGGATCCTCACCTCATGGAAGTCAATGGCAGCAATTTTCTTTTGTTTTCATGGGATCAGAACTGCACCTGATCCTTCCCTTGAAGCCCATAGCTGTCAAGGTCCTTCTGGACAGACCCATATTGTGGTGCTTAAGCTCTTGCCCTTGTCTTATGGATGGACCCTGGAACTGGCCGATGACTTTGCCTCATCTGAGGCTGTTGATGGTATTCATTGCTATGACCACCTGCCTCTGCCCCATGGTCAGGCCCTGCAGGACTGCATCCTGTCAGTGAAGGCATAGCTTGTGCTGGGTCATCTGTGGGTCATGGCACAGCCCTGTGCCTGCTGCTCCCTGACACTGCTCCTGCAGAGACTGAATTTATGCCCTGTGAGAAATCCCCAAGGAGAAATTCAGATCAAACCATTTAGAGCGATCGAAGTGAACAAGGGGGTTATAATAAATCTTTGCAGGATCCCAGGTCTCTAATGCCAAAATGTGCAATCCTGGAAACAGAAACAGTTGTATGCAGCTTAACTGAGTGGTAATGCAGCTCTTACACCCACAGGAAGCTGGCCTGTTAGACGTCCAGATCTACTAAAGAAAGGGCTAGTCCTCAGCCTTGTGCAGAGCAACTTAAAATGTTAGCACTTGAACTCAAAAAGAATAAGAATTGAAACCAGAAATATCCAGACAATCCCACTTCCCTTTATAGTGCTTGGAATTTAGGAAATCAAGTGGATTTTAAGCTAACTTCATGATTTATTGCAGTTTATTTCCTGATGCTTGAATGCCTGTGACTACCCAGACATGGGAGATGACAGGTAGTGATAGTTTTTGTTCACTGTGAAGCAAAAGGGGCTAACTTCAGTGGGTTTTCTATTGAGCTCTATGTATCCAAACAACGAATGCATAGAAACACTGGTATTTAAATTTGAAATCCTGGTGGGGAAGCAGCCCTCCCCAGGGTACTTATCTGTAGATTAACAATTTCTTCCCATTTTATATTCTCTTCCTTTTTTTTTCCCCCCATTTATTCTTTAAGAAGTACAGTCCTCAGAAAGACTGGGAATTTCTTTGAGAAGTTGTTAATACCAGATGCAAATACACGTGTAAAAACTCAGGGCTGAATCGCTGATATTAATTTTGTGAGCCTCTGGGTCCCATGTCCAATAGGTGTCAGGAACAGACTTTCTGGAATTCATAGAATCATTGAATCAACCAGGTTGGAAAAGGCCCTTAGGGTCATCAAGTCCAACTATTCCCCTAGCACAGCTAAAGGCCGCCACTAACCCATGTCACTGAGGGCCTCGTCTACACAGCGTGTGAACACTTCCAGGGACAGTGACTCCAACACTGCCCTGGGCAGCCTGTTTCAATGCCTGAGCACCCTTTGGGGAAGGAATTGTTCCTCATCTCCATCTAAACCTCCCCTACTGCAGCTTGAGGCCATTTCCTCTTGTTCCTTGGGAGCAGAGACCAGTCTCCTCCTGGCTCTGTCTTCCTGTCAGGCAGTTGTAGAGAGGGATGAGGTCCCCCCTGAGCCTTCCCTTCTCCAGACTCTAAAGACCCGGAGTTCCCTCAGCCATTCCTCATCACACTTGTGCTCCAGGCCCTTCATCAGCTCCACTGCCCTCTCTGGATCCGCTCCAACAGGTGTGTTTCTGGGTGATCCCTGCAGCACCTTTGTTTTTTGAGTTGAAGTGGAAGAAGTGCCATTGTTTAGTACCTAGTTCCAGGGAGAAACCTGTCTAGCTCCAAATGGGAACTTCTTTTAACAGGCACACTGAAATGGAGGGGATATGAAATGCCAAGACTTTGTCTGTTTGGGGTAAATAATGCTCCTTCCAGCTTTGATAGCTGTAAGGAGGCAACATGTTTGTGTGGAATGTGTACAACTCTGTAGTGAAAATGTGGAATTGTTCTCACACTGAGATTTGGAGTAAAGAAGTGTAACAAGGTTGAAATTCCCCACTGGCACAGTTCTGAGCATGCTGGGATCTACCAGTCTAGGACCAGGAGCAGAATTTGGCCTGTGAGGTAGGGGAGATGCCCTGGGTGTACTGGCACAGTACAGTGTACTTCAGCATCAGGAGCATGCAGGAAGACCCACCATAGTTACTGAGTACAGATGAGTGGAACAGCCTGTGTTGGATCTTGGTGTAACATGGCCATGCACTTGTGGAAGAAGCTGTGAGCACAGACTAGCTAGCTCGTGCGAGGACCATGCTGTATCCCCTTGATGTGCCTGTGTGAACAACAAGCAAGGCTTTTAAGAAGAGGTATTCTCTTTCTTCCCCTTAGCAGAAATTCTCCAAGGTTGTGCTAATACAGTTCTTTGGTTTTATTTAGCTGGGTGGCTTTGAAAAAGAGTCTTTTTAGCAAGGTGGTTTTATTTATTGCTACTCTTTGGGTTGTTCCTGTAGGTCCCCTTTGAGACAGGCAGATCTGTAGTGCTCTACAGCATAGGTGCTCAGTGGGCAAAAAGGAGAGTCACTCTCGAGAACAATCCTTATGTAACTCCTGTGACACATGGACCAAAGCCAGCAAAAACTTGGGGTTAGGGAAGGCAGCAGGGGACAAAGGTAACAAAATAACTGCAGTTTAGTAAGATGACAAAGTTGAGACACCACAATTAATGGATGAAATGGGAATGCTTCTTCCTCAAAACACGTGCTGTAGTTCCTACTGCTCTATTTCTCTTGCCACCTTCCTCCCCAGTTCTTGTAGCAGCTGAGACTTGGTCAGAGAAGACATCCTCAATGGAACACTGCCTTTCATTGCTGTTTTGTCTCTTTACTGTGTCCTCTTATCCTGTTCTCATGTAGTAGTAACACACAAGATGCTGATTCTGGAATGACTTGACGGAGGGCTGCCCTGTCTGTTCTACCAGTAAACTATCACTGATGAGCAAGGGACTAAAGTGATTGCATTGATCAAGTTGTACTAACACTCCCAGTTGATAGCATAAATCAGTAGGTTTTACTTGTCTGGTTATCAGATTCACATGTTTCATAGAATTATAGAATGGTTTGGGTTAGAAGAGACCTTAAAGATCATTTAGTTCCAACCCCCTGCTATGGACTTCCTATAATAGGGAAATAGGGTTTCCTATTATAAACTTTCATACGTAGATTGCCGAGCAGCACATGAAATAACTTATTTTAGTCCACTGTCTTGGACCTCATAGAGTGTAAGTCCGTCAAGAACAGACTGAAAGCCCTTGATTTAAAACAAATGCGCCTTCAGAGTAAGGTCTCTAACCCTCACAGAGTGGATTAATTCATGGAAATGTTTTTTTAATGAAGGTGCTATTTTACAGGAAGGGAAGTATATTTTTCCAGTAATTTAATTATCAAGATGTTTTTAGAGAAAATGAGCCCTTGCCGCTACTAATGAGTAAGGCAGCTGAGATTCCTCTATACCTATGACCTAAATTAATATCCAACTTTTCAAAGGTTTATGGCAGTAACAGTGTGCAAAGACTTTCTGTAACTTGTAGAAGGATTGGAGTAAGTTGTTTGGGCCTGACAGACTGTGAAGAAGCTGTAAACATGTTGGTGGTGAACAAAACCCATAATTATTTGTAATAAGAGGAACTGTTCTGCTTCTGAAATTGTTGCTATCAAAAACCCTATATGGTATGGATGCCACGTGCGACTAAGGCTCTCTATCAATCTTTCATATGGTTGATGCCTATAAAACATCTGTAAAAATAGAGAGGCTTTCTGGTGATGATATCCTGAACAGAATCCAGCACAGCACCAGCCATAAGATTGCAGGTAACTCACAGTCTTTAGCTCTTCCCCTTCCCCTTCGTCTTGCCTGCTTGCCTTTCTGTGTTTTACTGTGGAAGCCAGCATCATGCACATATTGGTAGTGAAATCATTTTATACTCTTTTTGTGTTTTCATGTTTTGATTAGTATGGCTTAAATCCATGATTCTGGGGTCTCTTGTTTTTTGTTACCATTGCTGTTCAGTTGAATGGGTCAGTCTGTCCAGAGGAAGTACAATACTCTTCCTGTTTCATAAAATCTTCAACCTTACAGCTCCTTTCCAGTTTGTAGTAACTTCATGTATTTCTGCCTTCTGTCGTCTTCTGCTTGCAGTTCCAAAATGGTTTCCAAGAAGATCAGATGAATACTGCTGCTCTTTATTGTCTGTCCAACTCTCCTAACATTGTCTATTGTCTGAAGCACATAGAAATTTCATCTAGAGGAATGTGCCAGAATGCATATTGTCAGAGACATTGTTCCAGTACTCAGAAATAGACTCTAATACGCCATTCAAGACTGCTATAGCATAAAGCCTGGGGCAGAGATAAAGAGATCCTCATCTAAGACACTTGGAGGAAAAGAAAGAAAGAAACAAACTTAGGGGGAAAAAAAAAGAAATGGCAGATCCTGAGGCAGCTTGAAAAATATTTAAGATGGAGACAGATTTTATCAGAGTGGTAAAATAAGTCAGTGCTGAAATGAATCTGTGAAGAAGCAAATAATTTATTGTAACACTCATTAGGCTTTTAATGAATACTGAGTAAAAATACTTGGGGTTTCTTTCAAATAGTCTAAAAAGATTCAAAGATGTGGATGCTGAAAAGTCCACAGAGCTAGGCAAAGTTTCCAACAGAGTGCCAGTTAGATTAATTATGAGGTTGTTAATGATGTTTTGCAACTAACATACTTCTGCAGTTCCTGTGATCAGATATATAAATCATTTATAACACACGCAATTCACAGTTTATTGCTATGTTTGATTGTCACCTACTTCACATTAAAGCCATCTCAAGCAACTGGCAACACTGAAGTTTTCCCTGATAGGAGGAACAGTTTATGCAGGCGTTAAGATGTTTCTGCATCGAAGACTGGAGTTTCTCAAATACATACAGTGTTATTGGGGCAAATCCTTGGATCTTAAGAACCCTGGGTTTGGGGTGTGTTTGCAGCTGAAATTCTGTTCCGCATATATATGGTTTGAATGTTTCTTGTATGTTTTCAGGATATTTCCTATTTGCTGCACAAAACTTCTGTACTGTAAGCCCTGCTAAAAATGTGTCAGTGAAGATACCCAATTCAATCCGTTTAACGAAAGGACTTCACATTCAGCAAAGTACAGGTCTTCTGTTTCTTTCCATTTATTGTTCAAATAAGATTTTATTATTTTCTATTTATTAGTGAACAAATAAATGATAGCAATTTAGTTACTATTGCATTTATTTCTTGAATTTATTTCTCTCTAGGATTCCTGTCATAATGCCTGCTTAAGCGTGTCTTGCCATTTCATACCTGACGGGAAGGTAATGCTTAATGCAGAGTGAAACTGGCAAAGCTCCTCTGTAAAAGTTCTTTCCTTGACAGTGAGCATGCTGTGTGTTTCCAGACACTTCACACTTCATAGCCATTGAGAAATGCAGCTTTTTGGCAGTACAATGGGTAAAAGGTCCATAAATGTGGAACATGAGTGTGTCTGAATGCTGCTGGGCTCCTTACCTCGTTATATTACTTCACACTTGGGGTACTGCATATGGCCATGACCACATAGAAGGGCTGCAGGGAGCACAGAGCACGGAGCAGAGCAGATGCTGTCCCCTTTGGGTAGGGAGCATTGCTGTGCTGCGAAGGAAGTGGAGAGTGGGGACCTTCCTTTTACTCAGCCCCTTTGTGGCTCATTTCCCCACCAGCACCCTATGTGCCCATGTAGTGGGGCCGAGTGGTGCTGAATCCACAGTACAGCTGAACTCTCCTCTCTGTAAGCTGAGAGACCCCTGTGCCTGACACAAAGGCACATCCTTTCATTTCCAGGTGATTTTTGCCTGGGAAAACAGGATGAAGCTGTGATAGGGATGATAAGGGGAGACCTTGTAACGGTCTTCCAATACCTAAAGGGGGCCTACAAGAAACCTGGAGAAGGACTTTTTACAAGGGCGTGTAGTGACAGGACAAGGGGGAATGGCTTTAAACTGATGGGAGACAAGGAAACAGAATGGAGACCTGGCATGACATAAGGGCTGAGCTTAACTCCTCAACCTGGTGGAGGCTGAGGTACAGGCAGGCCGGTGGATGGATACAGATACGGTATGTGCCTTACCAGTGAAAAGGCTATTTTATTCTCCAGGACTTTTC